TCAAATACCTGTACTTTCTACTTCTTACATGTTGAACTCAAATACCTGTACTTTCTACTTCTTACATGTTGAACTCAAATACCTGTACTTTCTACTTCTTACATGTTGAACTCAAATACCTGTACTTTCTACTTCTTACATGTTGAACTCAAATACCTGTACTTTCTACTTCTCTCATTTTCCAAACAGGCTGGTTCCTTTAGTCTGAATGTGTGTTTGGTGGCGTGATCATTATTACTTAGAGTCATTGCGTGCCTATTGATTTGAACACGATCCGTGTATCCATCATTTCCTGGTCTTCTCTAAAGAAGAGGGACCAATGAAAACGTTGTCATGTTGCCGTTGTTCACCATGGAAACATTCATTAGCTAACAATGACATTATTGTTCTATTAATATAAAGGGAGGTCAGGTACTCTTTAAAACAGCTGCTAGTTATGGGTACTTTTTACTGAAGGACATTTCAAAGCCTCTTTACTTTTACTTGAGTAAAGAAGTTTAGTCAGTACTTCTACTTTCACCAGAGTATTTTTAAACACGAGTATCTGTACTTCTACTTGAGTAAAGGATGTGTGTACTTTTGCCATCTCTGTGTCTTAACATGGACTTTGTTAGAAAAAGTGGTGGGGACACTTATTTCAGATTTTAAAAACACTACTTTAATCGCCCCCCGCAAACAATACTACAGACATGCTTACAATACTTTTTGTACAACTAGCACAGTAACTATGCTACGCTGCTGCAAAGCTATTCTCTATTCAATTATTACTGATATTAAACGTGTCCCAGGTCCAAACGGCACCACTAGAGTCACCAGAGATACACCCAGAAAGTGAAAACAGTCCTCCAGAATCTACATGTTCTCAAAGTATACAATTCTTTGTGCACGCTATTTTCAGAACATTTTCAACAAGATATCCTGATGCAAAGTGCTTTGGCCATTTCCAAAAGTGGTGTAGACATGTCTCCAGCGTCCCCAGTGTAAATGTTGCCGATGCCGTCATGTTAGCAGACAGTTATTGTTCCTGAAGGTGGTATGATGCTTTAGAAAGCTGTCTCTATAACAAAGTATTTCCTGTGTTTCTCCGTCAGGTACTACGCTGACATCAGCCGTCTGCCGGCCATCAGCGATCAGGACATGAACGCCTACCTGGCGGAGCAGGCCAGGCTTCACTCCAACGAGTTCAACATGCTCAGCGCGCTCAACGAGATCTACTCCTACATCAGCAAGTACAGCGAGGAGGTGAGGAACACATGTACTCGCGCAGAACAAGTGTCTTTGTGATGCATTCTGCAGGAAATACTGAGGTCTGTGTCCTTACGAGGGACAGTTTGGACCAAGGCCCCGTCCACACCGAGACGATATCAGTTGTATCCGCTAAAGTTCTTTATCGTATAGACGGTTCGTCCACACGAGGCCGACACGGAGTCGCGTTTTCGGAGCCCGAAACCAATAAACTTTGAAACCGGCTCCCTAAGTGGGTAAGTCTGAAGTCTGCGGCTCCGTGTGTACGCCCTATACGATCTTTTCCTGAATCGATGACGCCATGGCCCCGCCTCTCCCCACCTCTCCTGCTCACCCCCGCGTCATTGCTGATGCGTTTCGCCAACAACAATGGCCGATCACAGGGTTGCGTTCGTGCTCCAGACGCTACTGATATGTTTATGCCTTATGCCCATGTTCGGGGGTCTTATTCGCTGCTTTTGGTGTATTTTGTGGCGGAAGTACAGCGCCACTTACAGGCCCGTCATATGTACTACAGCGTCTCCAGCGTCTCCAGCATTTTCGTTTGGACGGAGGACTTTTTTGAAACCGATTTCGAACAGAAGTCGATGGTGTGGACGGGGCCCAAAAATCAAGGGCAGGAGTTTTAATAGGATCGGTTGTCGTAGGAGCCACATCTAAATGAATTCTCTATGTTTATTATTTACTGTTTTTTACTTATTATTGGTGCTGGGCTTTTCACTAGAGCTTTCTCTTGGCATTGATAGAGACAGGGTGAAGTTACGGAGAGGTGAGGAACGCATGAACTCGCACAGAACAAGTGTCTTTACGATGCATTCTGCAGGAAACAATAAGGTCTGTATTATAACGAGAGAAAGTTTGGACCGAATATCTTGCTGTGTATTTAAAAGAAAAAGAGAAACTTCCATCCCCTTAAAGACTGCACCTGACTAACTGAATCACACACACACCTCCTCTGACAGAGAGAAAGAAACTTAGAGCTGTAATTTAACTATTCATTTTTAATTTAGAGCGAGCTCTGGCAGGACGAGTGGTGCATTCAGGTGCTTCTGGGATGGCCCCATTTCCCAAGTTAGAAAGTCATTCTTCCAACGGTTCACGGTGTGTCCATGAGCTCTAAGTTGTAACGTGGAAACAACATGAATGTATCAATCCAGAGCATAGAAGACGGATCAGATCGGCCATGACTTTCCGCTGACTTTCCGAGATGTTGTTTCCTTTACGGGGTATTAAGGTTACATCTCAAAGAAGTGAATGCATCAATAATGGTCTTTTTTTGCAATGTGGTGAATCCGCCAAATGGTTGACATCCGCTCCGAAATCAGACGCTAATCACGGGCAGATTGTAGAAAAGTTGTGCTTCAGAAATGTTCTGTGTTTGGCACGCAGAGGTTAGCGAGGTCAGAGTCTTCAGCAGACTTCCCCGAGGTGAGCGTTAGCAAGGCGGCGTCTGATCTGCAGCCGAAAGTGATGTCTACAAGCTTCCCAGCATGCTCTCTGCTGAGCGGAAACACACACACGCTGTCAGATCACAGGAAGAGGGAGAGAAAGAGAGTGCATGTATGGAGACGTGTTGCCTCTAATGTCAGCGGGTCCTCTGGGAGGCATTAGTCTGACCTTTGTGCTGCTCTCCTTTTATTCCCTCGCTCTCTACTTCCTGTACCTTCCTCCTCTTTTCAAGCCATTATCCTTTGCTCTCCGTGAACCTCACACTCTGCTGCGTCAGCTGTCTGATGCAAACTCTTTCTCATGACGCATTTACTCCACACGCGCAGCCCATCGGTCCCAAAAACGTACGTTAAGAAGCTCATATTTACGGCTCTGCACAAAGGGGCCGAGCTGCGGATACTTAAATGGATTTGGGGAGAGATGCACCTGCAGACAGCGCTGCAGATTAATAATACATTGCTGCGATGAAGAGGAGGAGGAGGAGGAGGAAGTGCTGTAGCTGCCAGGCTTTAAGAGCACTTAGGCAGACGAGAGGAAGAAGGGAGGCTCCGCTGCACACAAAGGGCTGCCGGGAAACTGAAACACCAACAAAGAAAACCTCAGGAAAAATATTCTACGTGTTTCTAATCGACACGAAAACATGACGAATCAAATAGTTTGAAAAATGGCTCATTAAATGCAGATATTTGACCAACACGCATGATTTCTAAATTGCTGAGCCTCGTGGTGAACTCGGTGAATGAAAGGAGACTCGCCGTGCTCTGCAGAATAACTGAGGACCGAACAGAACACCTCGAAATGTCTCTACTCCACTGAAGGACACCAAAACGCCCAATAAAACAGTTAAAAGGCATAAAAAAAAGGCTCGTTAAACGCCTGTAAAACTGACATTATATGATATATTATGCATGATTTATAAATTGCGGAGCCTCGTAGTGACCTTGCGTATGAATACAGAGCACTTGAACGAGTCTTTAGATTCATCCAAAGTGCTTCTCCACGGGAATAGATGGCGCATTGTGGGCGAAGGTTTTTACCCTGTGTTCATTTATTATTTATCCATTACCTCCGAATAATGGAAAGTACACATTGTGTAAGAGAGGTCAATTAATGATGATGTTTAGTTAGCTTGTAAAGTGTGTTTGAGCAGTAGGAAGGGAGCTATATAAAAACCATGCTTTATTACTTCAGATAGTATTCAGATAGTTTGCTTCAGTAGAAGTACGAATACTACACTCTGGTACAAGTCCTGTATTTAAGAGTAAGTAGAATGACCTTCCTCAAAGTACAAGACTTGAGTAAATGTACTTAGTTACTTTCCCCCGCTGCATATATCCATATCAAAGGATGTTGTAATATTTGACATGGAAGGCTGAACATGTGTGAAACTGTCAGAGGTGACAGGCGAGACACACAGATTCTGTCTCGTCCTTTTCAACTCGACTTGACAAACGCCGCGTTTACACCGTGGCGCCTCGGAAGATAAAACGAGTTAGGATTAAACACAAATGTTGCTCCGTGTTGTGGAAGACAGAGACCCTGATGTAACGATGTTCCTCTCTTTCATGTGATGGCTCTGCTTCACAAAGAAATACACAACTTTATCCGAAATCTACGAAACGTATCACTGTGGGAAGAGACAATGGGCTCTCAGTGTTTCCTCTATAGGATGGAGTCATAGCAGCGGTGCTAAGGCACGTGGGCCCAGCATAATGTGAAATTTTTTAGTGCGTGCGAAGTGCGCCCCGCCAATTTGTTTCTATGTGTCTGCACAAGAAAGACTCTTGAGGCCTAGTACCAGGGCCGGTTCTAGACAATTTGCTGCCCTAGGTGAGATTTTAGGCGACATTTTATATGTAAAGAATAAATGAAAAATCTCTACAAAGGACAAATACACTGCAAAAAGTTATTGACATAGGTAATAGACGTCAAAATGGCTTCAAATGTATTCAGTATTGTTTGAACATGTTTGAATTGGGGGGTGGACGTCACATCCTCTAGGGGGGTCCGGGGCAATGTCTCAAGATTTAGCAAAAATACACCTTTATTGAACATACAGTAACACAAATATAAAAAATTCACATAACAAACAATCAAAAATAAAAAAGCGTCGCCACTTATTATTATTTTAAGAAAAAAACAAAAACTTTTTTGTTGTTGTTACCTGACAGGGACCCCCTAGCAGCGGCGCCGCCACTATTTGTATATAGGGGAAACAATGGGCTCTGATACAGGACACTTTAGAGGCTTTGTTTTCGTGGTCCTTCTATAGTGGATGTGTTCCTCTGTAGTCATTTTGTGTTCATTTCATGTCTTTTCGGAGTTGCGTGTCTCTTTAAGTCATTTCCTGTGTCTGTTGTAGTCTTTTTAAAATGTTTTGTAGTCCTTTTACGACTCTTTGCCATCATTTTGATTTTTTCTGACTTTTCTGTGTTTCTATGGACATTTTGTGTCTCTCTGTAGCCATTTTGTTCTCTTGTTATGTCTTTCTCTAATCGTTTCATGTCTCTGAGGTCATGTTGAGTCACTTTGTAGATGATTTGGGTCTCTTTTGTTGTATTTTGGATAATTGTGTGTGTCTAGGCCTTCAGTGTTCCTTTGTCGTGTCTTTGTGGTCGCTGTGAGCCTCTTCCTGGTTGGTACTTGTCTCTCCAAGCCACATGTTGTAGGTGAAGTCCAGGGAAGGGTTCTTTGGGCCCCTCGGTTGCAAGGTGCATCGACCTCACGTATTTGACGCTATTTTTCTCTCCCCCACAGATCACGGCGGCGCTGGAGCAGGACGAGCAGGCGAGGAAGCAGAAGTTGGCTTACAAGCTGGAGCAGCTGATCGCCGCCATGTCTCAGGAGAGCTGAGGACCCCCAACACACCCCACATCCGCACTCATATTATTTCCTCCTCACACGGACCCGCTCAGGGCCACAGACTGAGAAACAGAAACCCTGCAGCTGGAGGACCGTCAGCAGAGAACACGGCCCCTATTTATTTGATTTTTCTCAAAGAATATTCCTGTGTGTGTGTGTGTGTGTGTGTGTGTGTGTGTGTGTGTGTGTGTGTGTGTGTGTGTGTGTGTGTGTGTGTGTGTGTGTGTGTGTGTGCGTGCGTGCGTGCGTGCGTGCGTGCGTGCGTGCGTGCGTGCGTGCGTGCGTGCGTGCGTGCGTGCGTGCGTGCGTGCGTGCGTGCGTGCGTGCGTGCGTGGAGGACTAGATGAATCCTCCAGTGTGAACCGGAGGAGCAGATCTCGCGTCGCATCCAGATTTTTATTTTTGTACTTGTACATTTGAATATTATCAGTTGCAGTCCCGCCCAGGAGGACCCTGTCGTTGTGCAAAGACAAAGAAGACGACATCAGGGTCTCCTCTCACTTTTCCTCGGACTAAACCTCCGCTCTTTATCACGAACCATGAATCCGATCCGATCGTGAAACATGAAGCTCGTCATCTCAGAGTCTCTGGAGGACTTCAGCCGGCATGCGCCTGAACAGAGGAGAGGACATATCTAGGAGAATCAATCTGGAGTCCAAGGCTTTCTTTCTTTTGTCTTTCTGTTTAGTCATCTGTGTATGAGTCAGTGTCTGTGAATGTACAGATGTTTTCTTTTCTGTTTGCAAACACAAAGGGGCTCAGTTGAGCTGAGTGAAGTCCATTCATCAGACCGCTTCCCAAACATTATCCCCAGGCTCATGCGTTATCAGGGGATTGAACTGGTGTTATTTATTAGTGGTAATCAGTCTTTTTATATTCAGATGCGCAATGAATGTGTACCGACGTTTCTGCAGACTCTCCATGGTGCTGTTTCGACTTAAGGATCTATTTAGTTGACTTCTTATGGTCGGGAAACTATTGTTGTGGTTATTTCTGTACTACGAAAACACAGAACAATTTCCTTTTCTTTGCAATGTTGTGTATCCGCCCCACTGATTGAGAACCGCTCCAAAATGAACTATGTTTTTCCTGAGCACATGCCACAATCTTCCAACAAATTTCATTTAAATCGGGCTGGTCGTTTTTCTCTCATCCTGCAGAATGCTGTAAATATAACCCCCAAACACAACATCATTTTCCATGGCAGCATAAAGACCAAGAACAACGTTGGAGATGTATGGGACAAAAACGCTTCGTTTGACAAGAGCCCTTATTTACACGCAAAGCATTACCTTGTTTAAAAAGTAGTTAACAATCTGACGTCACTGGTTGGCGAAACACAGGCAGCGCCAACAATACTGTTTTAAAATAATCGGTACACGAGAGGCTAGCTAGCTAACGTCGTCTAAAAGCTGTCTAGTAATTTATGTAATAATTCACGTTAATCAAGTTACAAAATATTAAAACCAGGTGATTTAAATCTTCCTCAGAGTGGGTCGATCACCTCTTCAGTTGATTAGTCATTCTGTATCGATCTGTGGGGCTATATAGCTCACCATGCTAACGCGCTACCTTCCTAGTGCTGTATTTAACGTGATTAGCATGTAGCTTTAGCCCACAGGAATGTTTGTTTACACACACTGACTGCTCCGATAAGTAGTCTGTGTTTAAACGAACGACCTTTCTAAACATCTATGTGGCTGATTATCACTCATTCTGCAGATTTCATCACCTGATAACGTTTAAAATCTGTGTCATCATCCACCCTGAACCACACTTCTCTAGAGTAGAGTGTGTGTGTTCACATAACCACAGACTGTATCTCTATGGGATCAACTTCCTGTGTGTTTGCATGCTATCCAGGGGCCATCTTTGATTTGATCAAGTGCCAACGAGTCCTGCCAGCTCCGGTTGGCCAGCTGAGATGTTCCTCGCACTCACAATAAGATTCAGTTTCAACAAGTGCCAAAAGATCCCGTCGTTTCAAATTGTCCTCTAATGTGTCATACATCGGTTTATGCTTTACAGAGGGAGCAGAGCTGTCAGAACTGGAATACAGTGAGTTTTTTTTAAAGGTACGAAACATAAGGTGATGAATATAAAAGTGTTACATGCTGCGTCTGCTGACTTAAACCTAAGAGGCTGACCTGCGAGCTACAGCGAACTAGAGATTTCACCGTCTGGACTTGTTTTCTTCCGGGATATATATGTGTCTGCTTGTTGTTTACATCAAGTACTTGAACAATAGGTAGTATTAAAGGTGTGCACAGTGCGTGTTGAGAGCATGACCAACACCAGTAGTGAGTGAAAGGTGCTTCTTCTTTTCTCCGTGGCCTTAGATACCCACCTGATCTTATTAGTCCTCTGATCCGGCAACTCTGCTGAGAAGCGTCTTAGCGAGATAAGGTAAAAAAGGAAAAGGTGAAGAGGGTACGGCGGACATCGCCTCGCTCAGCACTCGGCTCTCCTGAGCTGTTTGAAGAGGAAGTGTTGAGAAAGAGAGAGAAGCCCTTTAGCTCTAGTTTCCTGCTCCGGCTTTGAAGCTGCTCTTTGATCTGAGGCGGTGTGTGTGTGTGTGTGTGTGTGTGTGTGTGTGTGTGTGTGTGTGTGTGTGTGTGTGTGTGTGTGTGTGTGTGTGTGTGTGTGTGTGTGTGTGTGTGTGTGATCAGGAGATGGAAAGAAGAAACATCGAACTAACAGGCGAGGAGGCATGTAGGATGAGGTGAAGTTGGACATGCAGTTACTGAGTCCAGCCAGCGGGGGCAGCAGAGGGGAAGAGGAGCTGATATTTGTTCCCTCATCTGAAACAAGCACCTTCTCCCAATTAACACCTAAAGAGTGGTGCAGGGATTTATTTATTTATAGTGGACCCTGAAGGCAGCATCTCCCTGGTTCCCATCACTAAAAACGGATGGGATTTCTCCATGTGATTTTGGTTAATGTCAGAAAATAATTTCTGTGGCAAATACACATTTATGATAATTACACGTTTAGTTCAGCAGGAAAATCTCCACATATTCACACCACTTTGTGATTTCTGAAGTAAAAAGCTAACATTAGGCTATAAAGGAACTACAGCACGGTCACATGACTTCACGTCACCACCGCTAAGCTAAAGGCGGCTAATGTTGGGCTATAAAGGAACTACAGCACGGTCACATGACTTCACGTCACCACCGCTAAGCTAAAGGCGGCTAATGTTGGGCTATAAAGGAACTACAGCACGGTCACATGACTTCACGTCACCACCGCTAAGCTAAAGGCGGCGTTAGCAACCGCGTTCTTTTTAATTCACCAGTGGGGTATTTACTGACGTATAACAATGCGTTAAAATCTCTTCAGCTTGTGTTAACCACAGACCTTATTTCAGGCAACCAGAAACACAATCAGAAAACATTCCTACGAGGGAACAAGAAATGCTGACTCATATCCAGGATTTCGACTCATTCCCGCACCACTCTATAGACACACCCATAGGTCTGCAAACACTTAACATAAAGCTTCCTTCTTTTGATTAAGGTGTCTTCCCAAACTCAGCAAATAGAAATGTATCCTCATACCTCACATTGCTTGTATGGAGTAATGCTTTTTATCATTTTAAACAGGACCTCAATGCCTTTTTCCTTTTTGCAAGGGATGAAACAAATGTACGTTTATTAGTCTCTCCAACTCTCCGCTGTATTCAGATTGTGACAGACGTAATCAGAGGCTCGCAAATTGTTTTTAAAGTGGCTTTGATTTTCCTCTCACGGATCATTTATATCAGGACGTTTCCTTTTTATCTTGTGTGAGATTTTGCATGCGTTTTAATTAATGCTTTTGTTCTGCCTGGTATTCCATATCGATCCACACTGACTGCATTTATTCCCATCTGTACAACGTCTCGCATCGCAGCTGAAAGCACCTTTTTATTTTTGAAAGAGATTTGTTTTGTTACGAGATATAGCTCTTAATTATCCATGCTGTAAACTCTCATTCTAATTCAATTTGAAATGAGGAAAGTTTGTTTACTCTTTCTGCGGCCTGGAATCTCATTTGACTGGCGGTGGTGGGAGATAGATGCTCGTAAACGTAACCTCATTTCAGCTGATTGCTAATGGAAGATGCGTATACGTGCACTTAGCTTGAGAGATGGCGTTACTGCTGTTTCAAAACAAAGCATTTAATCAGCAGTTTTTGTTTTGTTTGCTTTCCGGCCTCAGACAGAGGAATTGAAATCCCAGTCATTGTATTACTCTCAATTCAAAATATCATCAAGTATAAAATCCTTCCATTTTTAACACGTTGTAAACAAGCCCTTTGTAGACACTGGAGTTCTGTAATATAGTAATTAATGGCAATGATGACGATGATAATAATAATGGCTGTCTGTTCTTCTTGTTTTATAAAAGTGTTGTGAAAATTGTAAGAAACTTAAAGTATTTAAAAAAGGTTGTTCTCTTGTTTTGTTTTTTTATTTGCTTTGATTTTGTTATGATAAGATATTATTGTGTACCTATTGTAAATATGAAGCACACCTATTTTGCAAGCCAAGGATTCACTTTGTACTGTTGTTATATATAAATAAACTTTGCTGGTTAAAAATTGCATAGAGCTGAAATCTGTATTCGTGTCTCTTTGTCGTCAGAAACAATTATGATTCCACATCAGTGGTGGAAAGTGACTAATACATTAACCAAGTACTCTACTTAAAGGGGATCTATCATGCTAAATGCACTTTTTTATGTATTTTATACATAAACATGTGTCCCCGGTGTGTCAGGGAACTCACACAGCGTCAGAAAAGAAACCCCTCTCTCTTTTCCTCCGTACCCAAATCTCTAAAAACGGGGAACAATGGAGCTGATCCAGATTTGCGTCCGATATGACGTAATATCTGAAATGTGGACCCACGGCCCTATCAGAAACGTTGCTATCAGAAACAATGCCCGACTGTTTTGGACGTAACAGAGAACCGCAATTACGCGTCGTAAAACCCGGAAGTAAGTTAGCATTTTTAGCACTTCCGGTTCCTTCCTCAAAAAGCAATGCATTTTTTCCATAGGGTTTTGGAAAATAGCTCGAAATAAGGTCTGTGGTTGACACAAATTTTAGAGGTAATTGACGTTTTGTTCTACGACATTAAATACATCAGTAGTGACCCCACTGGGGATTTTTGAA